CTAACCTAGCTATCCATTTCCCTATCAAATCAATAGCAACTACACTTTCCCTCCTCTCACTAAAAATGCAGCTTGAGAATGAATCTAAAATGGATGCTGTCCAGTAGGTGGGAGGGTCTGCTAGGGAGGTGTGCTGCTAATTGGCTGGAATGTGTCTGCTGACTGTGAGGTACAGGGTCAAAGTTTACTCAATGATGACGAATAGGGGGCGGGTCGAACCGCGCATATGTTCGCCCGCCGTGGCGAACGCGAACATGCTATGTTCGCCAGGAACCGTTCGCCAGCGAACCGTTCGGTACATCACTATAAATAAATAGCCAAATTGGACAAATTCTCCAGGTCAGCTATCAAGGTTATGTAAAATTCACACTTTGTGATGCTTCATTTACTGGAAGAATAAAATATTTCTTGATTCATTTAAAACAAAATTGCAAATGTTGAATTAAAATAGCCAGTCTATTAAAATACACAAGATGAATTTTTCCTTATCCACAATTTTGCCATTCAATTTGCAAGCTTTGTTGTGTGAATAACCCGTTTATGTTCGGTTGGTCTATTTATTATTTCTTCCTGCAGATCTCAATGATATTGGCGTCAAGCCATGCACATAGAAAACTATTGAATTAATGTTTTTTTTTTTGCACATTACGGAATATCCTTATTGGAATGTACATATAATTAAATGTGCTATAATACTTTTTTATTATCTTGTTTTAATACCAACTACTGTCCGAACAATTATGCAAAATACCTTTTCGTACTTTATATCATAATTAATTAGGCAGTGATATTCAATTTACATGATTTACAGGTTAATATACTTACTAGTATAATTACACATCAGAAATATAAAATCAGCTTTAGAGTCTTATGCAAAATACCTTTTCGTACTTTATATCATAATTAGGCAGTGATATTCAATTTACATGATTTACAGGTTAATATACTTACTAGTATAATTACACATCAGAAATATAAAATCAGCTTTAGAGTCTGTTACATTTTCTGCATGTATGGTTGTGCCTAATGGATTGTATCTGAGATTATACTTAATTCATCTATAAAAACTGGTGCATAACTTTATTGTAGATAACATCATGGTAATAAATTGAAATCTATATTAATAAATGAATGTACTCACAAAAGATATTCACATATTAAAACACAAACTATCCATATTGTATGCCAGTCTGACCATGTCTCTTCTACTAACAAAATCTTCTTATCTGAGTTCTAATTATGTGTCCATTAAGAAGCCAACAAACTTTTAACTTTTCATTCATTTTAAACCAATTTTGACCCAGACAATTCCTTTAAGTATAATGTAATATTTATTGCACATTTGTCTCATTATTAAAACGTTAAATACTTCTCAAACACACAAAAATATAACAACCAATACAAGGTATACAAAAAAAAAACACAAAAATATTACAATGCTACTTACAACCATTTTTAACCATGCAAAATTATGGTTTCACCAAAGCTCTGTTAATTTAAGAGTCGAGTTGAGCGAACCTGAACTGAAAAGTTCAGTTTCGTACCGAACATTACGTTTTTTGGACCGAACACAGACATATCATTGTATGTTTGGGTTGGAGTTCGGTGTTCATTGATTCAATGTCGAGTTTTCAAAGGCTGCAGGGCAGCCAATCAACAAGCATTTCACTTGTGTGCCCCTAGAAGCCATCACTGCCATGCCTAATGGCATGGCTGTGATTGGCTAGTGCAGCATGTGACACAGCCTCTCTATTTAAGCTGGAGTCACGTAGCGCCGCACTCACATGAGTTCTTATTAGTGTAGGGGGAGGATGCTGCCGCTGTGAGGGACAGCTTAGGAAAGAATTCTGCAAACTAGTACATTAGAGGGGTGCACTTCATATCCGAGAGTCAAATAGAAGCGTCAAATACCGCGGTTTCATCTGAGTTTTGAAAAAAAATAAATTGGGTGCTAAATAGTACATTAGTAGGGTGCACTTCATCTCTGAGAGTCAAATAGAATCGTCAAATACTGCTGTCACATTGTAGTTTTAAAACTTAAACATTTTTGGGTGCTGAAAAGTACATTAGTAGGGTGCACTTAATATCTAAGTGTCAAATAGAAGTGTCAAATAGTGCGCTTACTGCGCAGTTGTAAAAATTCTAATTGTTTTGGTGCTAAACTGCTAAATAGTACATTTGCGGCCTGTACTTCATATCTGATAGTCAAATAGAAGCGTCAAATACTGCGGTTATTGCACAATTGTAAACATTCTAATTGTTTTGCTGCTAAATGGTAAATTTTTGGAGCCTGCTCTTCATATCTAAGAGTCAAATAGAAGCGTCAAATAATGCGCTTACCGCGCAGTTGTAAAAATTCTAATTATTTTGGTGCTAAACTGCTAAAGAGTACATTTGCGGGGTGTACTTCATATCTGAGAGTCAAATAGAAACGTCTAATAGTGCACTTACTGCGCAGTTGTAAACATTCAAATTGTTTTGCTGAAAAACTGCTAAATAGTACATTTTGGGGCCTGCTCTTTTTATCTGAGAGTCAAATCGAAGCATAACTTTGATTCGAATTTACTACAACGGTCACTTGTAATATTGTTTCACACCTACAACACTTGTTATACAGATCTAAGTGATAAAAAACATTGATATTTTCTACACTAGAAACTACCAGATAACAAGCTGCTATACTTAAACCAGTTATCAATAGCTAAGAGGTACTTAAACAATATTTTAATTCTGGGGCAATACACTCACACTCACAAGTCAAACTGAGAGGTCAATTTATAGGGAAAACTGTTGCCTGGATACAATTCTAAAACCATTTCCATATGTCCTTTGTAGACTTTACATGCTGGAAAAACACAGGTGCCAACTGCTGTGGCTTTCTGCAGTTTGTATACCGGCAAGGAGGGCAGGGTTGAGGAGTAGGTGGAAGATGATGTGGAGGATGATAAGATCCTAGACCCCACATGGAATCAAGGTCATGCGAGTTACGTGTGCAGTTTGGAGGAAGAGGCGCTGGTCGCACAGAGGCACCAGCACAGCATAAGAGGGAGTAGGGTGCAAAAGCGGTGCAGCCGTCCCCTAGCGCTCATCGGCATGTATTAGCTCGAGAATTACCAGTTATCCATGTAATAGATGTAGCAATCAAAGGATCCATAATAGAGTTGAGCGAACCCGAACTGCAAAGTTCGGGTTCGTACCAGATTTAACGATCGATTCGTAGTTTCACAGTCAGGTGGGCAGTCCAGTGACTGGGACCCAGACACTGTCTGGGCAGCGGTTGGATGACCGGGACCCAGTATGCCTGATGTTGAAGTTAGGAGTCACAGTGTGGAATGGATTAGCAGGGTCTGGTGCAGTGTAACCGCATGCCCCCTGGTGTTGAGCACCAGCGTTTGTGCGGCCACATACCAGGACCCTGATGCAGCTTCAGTAAAAAGAGTACTTGATACCAGAAGCCATCACCAGACTGATCCGCAACTTGGAACAGGGTGTGACATTCACTGTAGCGGCTGTGCGTGCATTCGGCATTCTCACCCTGCTGCTGCTCGCCTGTCTGCGCTGCAGCGTAAATTTGGCCTTCGCACTCATTGCTTCATATGCGATGTGCCCACAAGGTGGAACTCCACCTTGCACATGCTTGAGAGACTGTTTGAGCAGCAGTCGATAGTGGAGTTTCAGCTGCAGCACGCACGGGTCAGTGGCTCTGCACAAGACTTCCCTCCAATTTATCAAAGGATTTCAAGTGGACTCATTACAATTATAGGGCCTCTAAGGAGTCCAGTATTGTTATTTGTCGTCACTACCTTCCCGCGTCGGGAGTGGGTCATTTTCGTGCCTGCTGCCTTCCTTGCATGTGGTAGCCATTTTTCAGGGTCCCTGTACGGAATGGAACCCTGATTCCCAGTTACCCGTGGTCACCATGGTAGGCGCAGTCAATGGCATTGAAAGTTGATATGGATTGACATACGAATGCGTCGTCGCCTTCTTGTTGGGGAGCACATTGAAACCGAGCTGGGTGATGGGAGTTGAGCCAGTTCTGGGTGGCCCTTGTGATGCCACGGTGTATACCCAAATATATCCGAGCTGCTGCACAAAGTGCGGGCAGTCTGTGCGTGCTCTTGGCATTCTCACCCTGCTGATGTTCGCCTGTCTGCACTGCAGCGTAACTTTGGCCTTCCCGCTCATGAGACTGTGCGAGCAGCAGCAGGCGATAGTGACGTTTCAGCTGTATATATGTGTATATATATATATATATATATATATATATATACAGTCAGTGTTGGCTACCTCCCCCTCCTCCTCCATCGCCACTTCAACAGTCACCGCCGCCTCAACCTATGGTTCACTTAGTATAAACTATGTACACATTAGCAGAGGCTTGTGAAGGCCTTTTCTCCATGCATCAGGACTGCAAGAAATGCACCGTTTCTTTTTTTGTATGTCCCAATATTTTCGGGGCTACCCCAATAAAAAAATAAATAAATAAATAAAAAAAAAAAAAAAAATATATATATATATATATATATATATATATATATATATATATATATATATATGTATGTGTGTGTGTATATATATAAAAACAGTGTTGGCTACCTCCTCCTCTACCGCCGCTTCCACCTACACCGCCACGGTCACGCCTCCTCAACCTATGGGTCATGTAGTATAAACTATGTACACAATAGCAGAGGCTTGTGAAGGCCTTTTCTCCATGCATCAGGAGTTGAGCTCAGTTTGAACAATGAAAGAGAATACCCTGAACTCCAACCCTCTCTCAAATGGATAATTCTGGTGATCCTCCTGACAGCCATGCTTTAGATTTTGATTTATGTTCTTCCAAAGCTAAAATCAAAGATTCCATCTAGTGCTATTTTATGACTCATCTGTATTTTTAATTTGTATGTTATTTTAAGTGATTTTCTTATCCACATTTGTTTGCAGGGCACTTGTCCTATTCTTTTTACCCATTGTACTTCTTTTTGCAGCCCTCTAGCCCTTTCCAGGACTTTTTAGAGGCATTTTTGTGACCAAGAGTTCAGGTCCCCATTGACTTCAATGGGGTTTGGGTTCAGGGTCAAGTTCGATCACGAACCCGGACTTTTTTTTTTTTCAAACTTCAACCGAACCCTCCGGACCCGAACATCCAGGTGTCCGCTCAACTCTATTTAAGAGGAATCAGATATTCTAAGTAAAATCATGCCCTGAGCATTTTTAGGTTTCCACATGAAAACATTATACATTATTTGAGCTGTGTCTAAACTGTCCAAGTCATATAAGCCATATTTAATCACTAAGTGATTAGGTGGCTTTGATAAAATTAACCTACTTCTACCCAAATAATCCATTTTAAATCTACTTGTAAGTCAGCAGTGAAGCTGGAATGGGTGAAATGTCTGGCTTTGGAGTAATTTCCTTAGTTAGCAAAAGTTACTGCTTTTTAAACTTCCTTAAGCCTGCTTGACTTTGCCTGCAGTGCAAAAGAGAATGTTAAAACTAATGGCTGTCATTACCAAGTTGCAAGTATAAGAGTTCAAAGATAGCACTGAGCTGCATTGAGAAAGAAAGAAATTGTGGGATTTAACAGCATTTGTAATCATTCATGTTTAATTTTTAAAATCACTGTTTTTCTCTAATAATAAACAGATGGAGGGAGATTGTGAATAGCAAAATTAAGCATTAAAGAAAATCCTTGTTTTATATCACTTGACTTTTTCGATCATTGGGGCTGACAATGTTTGCTATCTACCCCTATTAGTGTATATATTAACATCTTTCTATTCACAAATGAGTGGGTCAGAAAGTCTACTTTTGGTAAATAATGAAATATCATCCATACTTTTTCTGGTCAAATTTACATTGATTCAATTATTTTATTTTTTTTCTTTGGTGGGTATATACAAAATCCACTATCAATAAAATTATTTTAAAAAAGGGTTATTTTACATTTCTCAAATTCGCAAACATTTTAATACAGGCATATTAAAAATTTTACATGATACAGGATATAGTTACATTTATTATTTTCTGTTCTTATTTTTTATAGTAAATATGATATTAAAACCAAACTAAAATAAAATTTGATATCAATCATCAGAATTTCAACATGAATTTCCCTCAGTATATCTCATATGCCACCTAGTGGTCCGTGTCTTGAAACAGCAGTAACTTATTCTACAACTTCATCTTTTGCCATGCTGAATATTCTAATAAAGTCAATCATTATGTTAAAGTAGTTGAATGACTTTCAGAAATATTTTAACAATTAACAAAACTGACAGGTAAGTATTGATACAGTATACGGTTTACTCCAAAACATAATTTAAGAGAAAATAAAAAAGACAATGATTACTCTGTTTGTATTCACATAAAAATACATTTTAAATAAATTGACTATATTGAGCAATGGAAAGTATTGTTTTCAATCTCAAGTGTTTCCCATATATTTAGTTATAGACAGATAAATGTTAAATGTAATATTTTGTATACCAGATTTTAGTTGCACAATTGACATGTGCGTGCTTGTTTGGTCTTCCAGTGCAAACTGTTTCTGAATGCACTGGTCAAAGATACCAGTAACACATTTTGGAGCTGCAGCTAGACCCAGAAAAGCATCTGAACTATAATTATAAAACAGAATGGATTTGAAATGTCCTCTTTCATTTGTTGTCTGACATTGGCCCTTTGTTATATTCTATGAAAAGTAAAATTTTTGTGAAGAAACACAAAATAATAGTTAGACATGAAAAATGGACTGAAAATTCCAATATAAACATAGACAGTTTTACAAGTGATAAAACAGATTTTCTTTAATAAAAAAATATTCTTTGTCTGACCTTTATTTTAAAACATTTAGGGTATTACTCATTCACGATATAAGATGATTCTGCAGCCATTCTCTGTAACCTACAATTCAGAAAGCTTTAAAATTCGCTACCATAAACTTCTATAACCTCATGTGCACACAGTGTAAATGCCAAAAGGTTAGTGAAAAAATACATTTTAAATTACTTTTTGCAAAGAGTTACTTTTGCTTCTTTTGAATAATCAAACAATAGAATTATATTGTCATTCGAGCAGTGTGTAACATGGCATTCATCATGCAGATAAAACATGATTTCCACACCTCCCTAATACTCGCTGTCTGATTACTGATTAAGGAAGGATATTCAGTTGTGTTTGAAAAGGGGAGCTCTCGCACTGATGCCCCTAGGTGAAAATCATATTTTGGCTATTACACCTACTTTCCACCCATTGGGTATCTTACATCTCTATTCAGTCTTCTCACCCATCTTTTTCAACTCTTTAGTTTCTCCTTCTGCCAGTGTTTCTCGTTCTTCTTTCTCTCAGTCTCGTTTTTTAAAATTATTATTCTATCTGTGTCATGCTGCATGTGCCTGTGCTCCCCAACTTTCTTTATTTTTTTGCAATTTCTCTTGGGGTGCTGTAAGTTCCTGAGAACTGCGGGGACCACCTGGCTGGCTCATGTAGCATGGCTCCCCTCATGGTCAGCACTCCACGGGCTCTGGCCCTGGCTACTACTATAAGAGGGTTTTGATTGGCAATGTAAGTTTTATTTCAGTATAGTGAATCCTCCCGAGTTATAAGGTTAACATTTTAATGTAAGAATATGCTTTAATGTAGAATTTGCAAATTGTAAGTTTTAAGTAGACATATCATTTTAGTAGAATTATAAACTGTTGTCTTTCATTTCTCTATGAATGGCCTTTTTAAGGGACATTTTAAGCAGTTACATTAAAATACATTTCCGTTTCAGGTTAGTTATTTATGTTTAATGTTTATGAATCTTCTGAATTTTTTTGTAACAATAATTTGATTTAATTTCAAATTCCACCCATTACTCTTTCTCACAAAGCTTCCCTATTTGCTCTAAAATTTCCTTTTTTGCTCCTGAATATGATGCCATGACTTAAGTGTCAAGAAGCTGTAATTTAAAACACCGGTTATAGGATGCAGTAAGCAGTCCTATAAATAATTGAACAACCATCATAATCAGATTTTGTGAGCCTTGTCCCAAAACTAGAACTTCATGAATGTAACTCGCCCTCTACATTTATATATGTTTTATGTCTTGTCTCAGAAAATATTGGCTTTGATGGCATGTAAAAAAATTTTTAAGAAACAGTAAAAGGGTTATTCCCCAAAGTGAGAATTCAAAGTGAATTCAAAGTGAATTCAAATTGAATTTCAAATTAAATGCTAGGGAAGCCGAACTGGAAGCATAGCTGTCATAGAGGATTTTTCCCTTTTGGACATTTTTACCTTAAATTTAAAATCCACTTTGAATTCACTTTTAATTCACCTTGAATTTCTACTTTAGTTAAGAATCCTGTAACAGTTTTTTCTTTGGGAATCATTACGTTTGCGTAGTAGATTATTTTTAAATCCTGTATGTGCAAACATGCTCTGTTTGAATAATTTAATGCATACATAACATCTGCACAATGGTTTTGTACATTTGCTAATTGGAAATATGAATTACCATATTTTTGGGAACATTTTTATTTTTGCAACAAGGCTTTGCTAGAGCAGGCAGAGGATGCCTGAGAAGCATGTGTGACTGCAATGTGCAATATGCGATAAGCTAGATGTTTTTGACAGGTTAAAGTACCGTACAGGTTGGGAGGTATTGTCAAGTGCTGTAGACCTTGAAGGGACCTACCGCTGTAGCCCTGAATAGATATAAAAAAGAGTTTTAACTCTTTGTACATGTTTTTTCACTTTCCGTGTGATTTTGTATTAACAATGTGTAGTTGGTAATTCACCATTTTAAGAAACATTTTATTATGGTCAGGGTTCCTCTTTTTGTGTATAAGGAAAAAAAACTATTTCTTATCAGATGTTCTCTTTTGAAATCTCACAGCTGATTGTGTTTGCTGTAATGATCAATAAACGCTTTCATTGAACCTGTTTGCCTTTGTCTCTTACACTAACAGTTGGATGGATGAACTGTAGTAACAGTTTTTTTTATTCTGTAATCCTTGCCTATATTGTAACGGCAGCATTGTTACAATTGGCTACACTGTACAGTTTCTCATTTTGTCTTCATGCATTTTGGTAATTCCTCATCAACAATATATTGTTATAAATTGGACATAACAGGAGGAATATTTAATTGTCCCATTGTTTTATCACCCATAAATTGAAGATAAAATACACATATATACATTTTAACATCTTGTATTTTGCACTTTCCTAAGCCGTATTTCAAGATGGAGATTTATCACATATCTTTAACTGC